CGGCCCACATTTTAGCACATCCCTTCAAAAGGTTAGTGATTTTCATTCGAATGTCATAATCACAGAGTTGATAGGTGTTTTTAGCCTAAGAAATGTGATTGCACCACTCACGTACGCCAATATTACCATCTGGGTCTGGGTCACAAAATGGAAGAAACACATCAGTTATTTTAACCTTATCACTAGATTGTTGCAAAAGCCGCTCACTCATATTCTGTATCATGGTCATCATAGGGTTGCTGGATAGGTTCGTAGGTAGAGCCAGTATCGAAGCTGATATGCCCGAATCGAACGCGCTCTGTGGAACCTCCACATGATTTCCAGTATAGTCAGGACGGGAGGTTTTGATCTGTGGAAAAGGATCGCTGGGGCGATCCCACTTCTGATGTCGGAGCGGAAACCTTGGGGTTGTTTTTTGGTGAGGCAGCACCACTGTCCCCATTTGACAAGGGTTCGTTCGTGCTACCGTATATTGTGTCCATTATAATGTAAGAGATCTAAGATAACACACTTTTAATTTTATACCACCATAACTTTATTGCTGAACATAGGCTTCCCCCAAGTAATGCCACAAAGCACAGTCCTGAACCACCTACATCCATCGACTTCCTGCATGTCTTACCAGGTCGTCACTCCATCTAGTGGCGGGTCGTACAGTAAAAATAGAATTTAACATTGCGCGAAATTTCCGATTCAATTTGATTTTTTTTATGAGGTTTAGGATTACTTATTCAGCATAAAATCACAAAATGCCGACAGATCCAGGTAGCGCTTCAAGCGCAATCTTGAAAAAACGTTTTCAGCCGATATCTCGGTAACTATGCACTGTAATGTCGCCTCTACACGTTGGCCAACACAGTGGCGAATGTAGTGGCGAATATATTGGCCGAGAGTTGGTGACGGCGTCCACACGTTGGAAGGTCGTTCAGTTTACTTCGGTTCGGGCCAATGTGCGGACGAATTTATAAGCACCGTGGCGCAGTGGCTCAGCAATGAGTGGCTGCGCCGAGCGCCGCGGGTTTGATCCCGCACGGAACAAGTATTTGTATGTCCTACAAATAATTGTTTCGGGTCTGAATGTGTGTCCTTGTGCAATTTATGTTTGTAAACTGCCTGCGCGATACGAGAGAAAATCCTAGTGTGGGGTTCGTTTTTATAAAAGAATTATAAAATAATAGTGATTATTAATGAGGCTGTAAATAGATATACGATATACAATTAGCTTTATTTATTTTTTACATGCATCATAAACTGGAATAAATACCATTAATAAGAACTTAACTTATTTTAAAGTTAAAGGAGTTATAATCGATTAGTCTATGTTTTAAAATTGGGTTTTGATTTTAAAGTTTAGTAGTTTACCAAAATATGTACCTACTTGCATTTCTATCAGACATTTGATGTATATTAAAAACACCATATAATTTATTTGGTAATTTAATTATTTTTTGAGAAAGACAAAAACAATAGCAATAAATATAATTAACATTGACTTAATAATAGGTACTAATTATAACTTAGAACATAAATGAAAAACTCATGACGAGCAAAGTGGCTCAGGACCATGCTTTGCGGCTGTCTGTGGAGGAGGATGTTCAGTAGTAGACTTGTGAACAGCTGTAATGATGATGATGATTCGAAATCTTGCACGATTAAATTATAAGAAATCGTCGCTTTTTTTATAGGATAGTGTGACAAACGAGCACACAGTTCACCTGATGGTAAGTGGTTACTGTGGCCCACAGACATCTACATCTATCCTCGATTACGAATCAAAATGCAGATGCGTTGTCACCCGTGAGGACTAAGATGAAATGCCTCGTTTCCTTTAAAAAGGGTCTCTGGTTCTCTACACTCACTATACGAAACACAGCATCATTACGCTACTATTTTACGCTGATATTCTGTGAGAGCGTGGTCCTTCCCCGGTCGAGCCGACCCATTCGTGATACAACTATACTTCTAATATAACTGCATGGTTCTACCACATATAAACGATGTGCTTCATTTTTTTCATTTTAAAATTGTCCTCGTAATAATCTGATTGTAAATAAATGTTCATTATTTGTTTTGATAAATAGCTTATCGATTAAAACAAATAATTAAATCGCGCTAATTAAAGTAGTAGTTGAAATTAGCACTAAAAGGCTAATAGGGGCACCACCCTACAAAGCGTGAATATAAAATTTAAATCAGGTGCGTGTAATTCACTCCTTCCCCGGTCGAGCCGATCTTCGTGCTGCAACTATACTTCTAATATAATTGCATGGTTCTACCACGTATAAACGACGTGCTTCATTTTTTTTTCATTTTAAAATTTTCTCGTAATAATCTGATTGTAAAAAAAACGGTTAATTTTTTTTTGATAAGTAGCTTATTGATTAAAACAAATGTTCAATAATAATTAAATCGCGCTAATTAAAGTAGTAGGAAGTTGGCCCACTCTGCCAACAATCCTTTGATCTTTTGTAAAAAACCGACACCACGCGGATCTCATGGCAAATCTCTCATGGCGGATCTCAATGGAAAGCATGGTGGGCGTGGCTTCTTGAGCGCAGCCACCGTGATACTTCCTTTCGAGATCGGATGATCCACTCTATAATGACGTCATTTCTAGTGATAAGGGACTTACCCCTCTATCCTTAGTCAACGAGCAATGGCAAGACCCGGCATTACAGAGCATTTCCGACCGGGAGACCGTATAGAAGGAGAAGGAGCTCCACGGGAGGTACTACAGGGCTCTACATGAGCCCCACGTAGATACAGCCGCCTCCCTCAACTGGCTACGTTTCGGTGACCTCTTCGGGGAAACCGAGGGTTTTGTCTGTGCAATACAGGATCAGGTTATTAAGACCAACAACTATCGGAGATACATCCTAAAGGATGGCACTGTCGACGTCTGTCGAGCTTGTCGCCATCCCGGGGAGTCACTTAGGCTTGTCTCTCCGGTTGTTCGGCGCTTTCTAACTCTGAGTACTTGCACAGGCACAACCTAGTAGCCAGAATTCTACACCAGGAGCTCGCTCTGAAATACGGTCTCGTGGACCGGAAATTGCCGTATTACAAGTACTTTCCTGAAGCCGTGCTCGAAAATGACCGAGCCAGGCTCTACTGGGATCGGGCCATCATCACGGACAGGACTATTCTTGCGAATAAGCCTGATATTGTGCTGATGGAAAGGGCACAGTCAAGGATATTTTTGGTAGACATTACCATTCCGTATGACGTAGTCGTCTCTGCGAATGGGCTAATCCCAGTCAGCCTCTCGGGTCATCTGAGGCGACTGGGACTCCGTGACGGATCGCTCCGGGCTCAAATGCAGATGGCGGTGCTCCTCGATACCGCCCGCATCGTCCGCCGGTTTCTTTCCCTTTCCTCCTAACCCTCGGCCGTTTGGTCTCCCCTGCCGAGGGCTTGCATCTGGTTGGGCTTTTATTTATTTATGTATTTATTTTATTTTAATTATATTTATGTATATTTATCTTTTCATTTTAATTTATAATTATATATTTATAGAAACCAACCAGATGAGAAAACTATATTGATACCCCCCATAATAATATTGATATCCTATACCTTTAAACGAGCAATTCTTGTATATATATAATCGGAATCTCGGAAACGGCTCCAACGATTTTCATAAAATTTTGTGTGCAGGGAGTTTCGGGGGCAATAAATCGATCTAGCTAGGATTGACTTTTAGAAAATGTGTTTTTGTCCGTGTTTTTAGGCAATGAAAAACTGTTACAATATCGGAAGAATAAGAAGGTAAATTTTGACAATTTATTAATGATTACAAATAGCTTAATTGGTATATTGGGGGTCACAAAATTGTATTACCATGGTTCGTGCCCAGACCGACCGACCGGCTTTTTTAAATTTTTTTTTCAAGTTCCTTTCTTTTTTTGAGAAAATCCATTTTTTCGAGCCCTTTTTTTAGTATTTTTAAAAACACGAAAATTTTAAATTAAACTAAAATTGCACTCATGATTTTTTATTCAAATAACCAGTTCAGTTTTTTCTATTATGTCGCTAAGATCAAAAAATATTATTCGTATTTCATCAGTATGTAATTAAAAAAACCGAGCGAAAAATACCGAGCAAAGCTCGGTCAATCGGGTACTGTATATATAATATGATAATTAATAGTCGCAGGCTAGTTATCGCACAGCGGTTGTGCCGGCATGTATAAATAACAGCTGTTTTGTCTCGCCGCTCACTTAGCGGTTAGCCACCGTAGAGTCTACATCACCTGAGGATGCCTCGTGTAGAGGCGAAACACGTGTCGTATTATCGTCGATGGTGTGTCTAAGACACAGTGTCTTTCCTGGAGTAGTTGTGCCAGGAGTAGTGATGTTGGGACTAGTGGTGACGGAATTAGTGCATACAATTGAGGGAGGGCGGGAGGTGCTCTTCAATCCAGGTAAGACACATCATTGTATTTAGTTACCGGAAGGTTGCAAATTAATCAATATCTTTATTGTTTGTTTTTAACTGTCCAGCGTACGCCATAGAAAGATTGCTACTCATTGAAAATATTTAGCACTTTGCAATTATATTCATAATACTGTAAGAGAACTATGAAATATGGTATTCCTGTTTTTGTAAATATTGGACTGATAAATCTATATGGATTGAAACTTATAAAGGTTATAATATAAACAAGACTTGGCTTTAGCCTTTATGGTTTTTGAAAATATGAAGAATTAAAGAAAATAAGACTTGGCTTCGGCCTTTATGGATTTTGAAGAGATGGAACGAAGAAAAAATAAGACTTGATTCCGGCCTTTACACTTCGAAATTCTATATATTCAAATTAAAAAAGACAATGCTGTATGGCTTAGTTCCTTTGACTGTTCTCTCGAGCGAATAATAAAAATAACAACAATAATTATTGATGAAATTGACATTTGACAGTTGACCATAGCAATTGACACTTGACATATGAACATGTACCGCATGCACCGCAGCGCGGTTGCGGCGCGGCGGTGTTAAGAAAAATGGCGAATCGAACAGTTAAAGACGCGAAATCAATTCGTGGTACAAATCCTCAATATCTTGTTGAAAAGATAATAAGATCGCGAATATATGATTCTAAATATTGGAAGGAAGAATGTTTCGCCCTAACAGCGGAGTTACTAGTTGATAAAGCTATGGAATTGCGCTATGTAGGTGGTGTTCACGGTGGCTTTATTTATCCTACTCCTTTTTTATGTTTAGTACTGAAAATGCTACAAATACAACCCGAAAAGGACATTGTTGTTGAATTTATAAAAAATGAAGAATTTAAATATGTCCGTGCGTTAGGTGCATTTTATATGAGACTTACAGGAACATCAGTTGATTGCTATAAATATTTGGAACCACTGTACAACGATAATAGGAAACTTCGAAGGCAGAATCGTCAGGGACAGTTCGAAATAGTTCACATGGATGAATTTATTGATGAATTGCTTAGAGAAGAACGTTTATGTGATGTGATTTTGCCAAGAATACAAAAAAGGCATATCTTAGAGGAGAACAATGAATTAGAACCAAAAATATCTGCTTTAGATGATGACCTAGATGAAGATATGCCAACAGATGAGGAAATAGTAGATGCTGAAGCCAAAGAAAATAGAAGAGAAAAGGACAGACGAGATAGAGATAGGAGGAGAGACAGGTATGACATAAATTACTATTACCTTCATAGTTTTTTAAGACCGACATTTTTGACTGCATAATTGGTAGGAGATAGAATCTGTGTATAATTATGCTTTCTAGAGACCTTTAGGCTCCAATTTTGGGGTCGGTAAGTATTCAAATCTAGATCTCATTGATAGTTTTCCTCTGGATATAACAATCCACTTGTAATACAGACCTCCTGACTCCTCACTCAACCCATTCCACTAAGCTCCTTCAAATTGTGGAGTTAGTCGGCCTTCACATTTTACCTTTACATGCCACTCACCACAATATTGATGTGGAGGATACCTGGCTTGACATAATCTTTACCTGTGCTCCTTTTCTTGTAATCTCCCATGGTCAACTCTGCATCTGCTTTCTCCTATCATGATACCTCATTTTCCTTTTTTACTTCTTTTTTGTTTTTCATTCTAAACTGGAACAGCATGGTTGCTGTACCCAATATGGACGAAAAGGTTGGGGCTTTGAATGAAGTTATTCTTGGACTATTTTACGTTCATGCTCCCATTAAGAAAGTGAAGCTCACTTGCACCATGGATGATGATTGGGGTTTGAATTGCGATGAAACATAGGGATCGATAGGGCTTTCGGCAAATTAGATAACATCAATGTGATCAAATCTGGACTATTTATAATGTTGCTAGGTAAAGGTGCAATGAGATGATAACACAAAGCTTAACGCCGATTTATTCTTAGTAACATCTCATCCTCTTCCCCTGCTAATATCAGGAAGTTCCTGTGAAATATATGTATTGGTAAACAACAATGTTGTGAGTTTCAGAAGACGATTGGTCTGGATCATATCAATTTTCATTGTTTCAAACAGTCCTTTTAATCACCAGATCAAGAGTCTTAATGTTGAACACAATGGGTTTACTTTGTCCCGACATGGATCTCTTTACGCCAAACAATGCCTTATCGACCAATTCGCTACTTTGATGAGGATCTTTGGCAAATTCAATTTTACTTTTAGTCGTCAGTAATTTCTTAAAGTTCTTGATTTTTTACCTCGGTCTATTGTGTTACTTCTTTATTTCTTAACAGCTGTTAGTGAAGGAGTCTAAGAACAGCATTCACAACGTCGTTGTTTATATTATTGATCAGGGGTTCTGGAGCTATATTTTCCCTAGAAAATTCTTCATTAAATGTAAGTTTTTTTGTTATATAGGAGGGGGCAAACGAGCATACGGTTCACCTGATGTTAAGTGACTACTGCCGCCCATGAACAACTGCAACACCAGGGGAATTGCAGGTGTGTTCCCTGCCTTTTAGAAAGGAGTAAGCCGGTCCAGAAAAATCACCGGTGGTAAACTGTTCCACAGAGAGGCCGTACACAGAAGAAAACTCCTAGAAATGTACAGTGGTGGACCAACAAGCATTCAGATGGTGTGGATGGTATTGGGTATTTTTCCGCGATATGGTGGTCCAAATCAGCCCAAATGTGTGACAATTATAAACTTTAGCGATTCGGTAATAGCTGCATAATTTTGTTCACCTGATAGTAAGTGGATGCTGTGGCCCATAAATATCAACATGTATCCTCAGTTAAGAATCAAAATGCAGATACGTAGTGACTGTGCTATTCATGCTACAACCATTACATAGCTGCAGTGTGGTTCTACCACATGGATAAATATATAAGTTTCGGTGCAATAGTTTATCGCTATACAAACTCAGGAAGACATCTCTAAGATTAAAGCCGGTTCTAGTAAGAAACTTAGCGATATTTCCAATAGTTCAGCATTTACTTACTATCCTAATATAGTGTTTTTCTTTTTTCAATTTTTGATGTTACATTTGTTTTTTGTCGTAGCTCATTTGCTATTGATATGGTGTATCAATCGGATCTGACAAGATTAGGTGTATGTGCAGTCGAATTGTTAATAAAGTTGTTTCATCGCCTTATTAAAGTTGGGAGTGTATGCAATCATCTATTATGTAAAGTATCATATTGTATGGCGTTTGTATTCATTATATATTTTTTATTCCTAAATGCGACATTTTCATATCATTGCATGGTAACATTAATTTATTATTCTGACTATAAGAATAGTTAATATAATCTGTTATTATCAAAACTGTAGAGGTATTCGTACTAAGCTATATACGTTGTATATGAATATTTTATGTTTTTATGACCTATACTCCAGACCTTCCTGTTGTCGTGCATATGACCTTATTATTCTGACAGAAACTTGGTTAATACCAGAAATTGATAATAGCGAATTCATAGATCAGCATTATACAGTTTATCGTTGTGATTGCAATCGTAGCATTACTGGCAAGAGTAAGGGGGGTGGTGTCTTGATTGCATTTCTGGAGCGTTTAAGACCTATGCCTATTACCCCGGGGTATAAGAACACTTTGTTGGATAGCATTGAGAATGTGTGCGTTTGTCTTCCTGGCTCATGTGGCCGTAGTAGGATTTTAATTTTTTGGTGATTATAATTTACCTGAGATTACATGGGTTCCTAAACACAGATATTTTGGAGCCTTGGACTGTAGTGCATTGTCACCTCTATCTACCCAACTTTCTAACTTTATGTTGCTTCATGATGCTAGTCAGTATAATTTCATTAAAAACATTCGAGGTAATATACTAGATTTATTGATTTCCAATATTGAATGTAGTATCACTCCGCTTACGATACTCTTTTACCTAGGGACAATCATCACCCGCCGTTTAGTATTAATTTCATATTTAATACCATGCCCTATATTATGCCATATTTAATACTATGCCACCTACTATGCGTCTACAATCTATTTTGAAGTACAACTTCCACAAAGCTAATTATGAGTTTATAATTGAAGATTTGGATAAACTAGACTGGTCTTCATTGCTATATATGAATGATGTCGAAGAGGCAGTTGAGATTTTCTATAATGTAGTTTTTAATATAATCGATAAACATACCATTCTCATTATTTGCTGATGTCACAAAATTTTTTGGGAACCCTATTACGCAACATCAAGTTATACAACAGGATCTAAATGCCATCTGCAATTGGACTAGTGATTGGCTCCTAAAACTGAATGCAGACAAGTGTATGGTTCTACATATAGGGAAAAATAATCCATGAAATACATATAATCTAGGTGATCACCCATTGTCTTCTGTTGAATCACAAAAAGACCTTGGTATTACAATAACCAGTGACCTCAAATGGGAAACTCATATCCTTAACATAGTAAAAAAGGCAAACTCCATGATGTATATGATTCGAAGAAGTTTTATGTGTCTCACTCTTAACATATTTAACAAGATCTACCGAACGTAATTAAGACCTCTTTTGGAGTTTGCATATGTGATATGGGACCCGTATTTTCGTAAAGATATAATAATACTGGAAAATGTTCAAAGGAGGGCCACAAAAATGGTAAAACAACTGCGGAACATGACATATGAGCAGCAAGAGCCGTAGGCAGAGAGGTAGTCTGATTGAAACATACAAAATACTGACAGGATATTACAATGTTCCTACTCTGCCAAATTTGTACTTACTAAATAGCAACAAACGTCTGAGAGGACATCAACTTAAACTTTGCCATAGGACTGCCAAGCGGAATCCTATGAAGAATTTTATAACAAATCGTGTTGTCACCAAGTGGAATAAGCTACCACAAAATGTGATTAATACTCCTAAATTGAATGCCTTCAAGAACAGATTGGATAAAATCTCCAAACATTAAGACACACACACATCAGCTTTTTTAGCTGCTAGTGTGTTTATGTATAAATAATAATTATAATAATAATAATACTCCACCAGTGTCCTGCAGATCTGCAAGATATCCGGTGTGGTTTACATCTTCCCTAATTCACATCTCAAAGAATAAACGTAAATCATGGGTTAGATGGAAATAGTATAAAAATACATCTGATTATGAACAGTTCTCAATTTTTTTTAATGTTGCCTATTGTTTCAAATTGGAAACTCATAAATGTTTCTCTAGATATATTCGCTCAATTGAAAATAGTATTCAAAATAATGTTAAACATTTTTGGTCTTTCATTTCCAAGAACAAAACATCATCTTGTGTTCCCTCGCACATGCGTTATAATGGTTTTGTAGCCGGTGAACATGATATGATCTGTGACTTATTCTCTAGAGTTTTTCTACTCAGTATATCAGCCTTCAATAATGAAAATTGGTCTGAACCCTCGACATCTGTTCCTAATAATGTTCATTTATGCAATCTATACTTTAGTGAAAATAAGCTCCTTAGAGAACTTCAATCTTTAGACCCGCCAAAAGGTTCTGGCTCAGATGGACTTCCAGCTCTCTTTCTAGTTAAAACTGCTGTTAGTATTTGTAAGCATCTGTCTCTGACCAATCTCTATTCTGTCTGCCTTGTCGAAGCTTTTCGAAAAACTGGTTCATAATGAAGTTTATCCAGTTATACATGACAGCATTTTGAAAGAACGACATGGCTTTGTAAAGGGAAGATCCACTATCACTAATCTCATGATCTATGTATCCTTTCTTTTTGATAATATGGACAATAATGCTTAAACGGATGCTATATATACCGACTCGAAAATTGCCTATAATGGCATACGTGGTAATCTATTACGCTGGTTTTCGTCATACATTATGAACAGAAGTCAAAACGTAGTTATCAATGGGTTTCAATCTCAGAGTATTCATGTGACTTCAGGCGTGCCACAAGGATCCATCCTTGTCCGCTTTTATTTATCATTTTTATTAATGATATAGGACAGTGTTTTCACAATTGTAACTTTTTGTTGTATGCAGATGACTTAAAAATTTATAAATCTATAACATCTATCTCTGATTGCTTTCTAATACAACAGGATTTGAACAGATCATCTTTCAAATCATCTTTCTGAATACTGCAATGACAATAAACTGCATTTAAGCCTGTCCAAATGTAGTTATATAAATTTTTCAAAAAAACATCATATTGTACATTATATCTATTCCCTTTGTAATGTCTTATTAAATAAAGTCACATCTTAATATGATTTAGGTATCATATTGGATAATAAGTTGCATTTGTCCATATTGACAAAATTGTTAAAAAACCTTTCAAATGTATGGTTTTGTGATGAGGTCATGTAAGAACTTTAAGAAACCCTGTACGTATCTTTATCTTTACAAAGCCTTGCTACGCTCCCAACTTGAGTATGCCATACCAATATGGAACCCTCTGTACAATAAGTATGTAGACTTAATTGAAAATGTGCAGCATAAATATCTGCAATCCATGCACTATAGGTGTTATGGCACATTTATGTCGTATGATCAGTTGTTGAATAGGTATAAACTGCATTCTCTTCAGTTAATAATAAATTTGATTGTACTGACTTGACCAACAGATTGTTATATTGTCACAAGAACGGTTCATAGGCGGGAGGAGCGCGTTCTTAAGCTGTTCGCAACTGCCAAATGTCGTACCAAAGCGGGTATACGCTCACCTCTGCGTCAAATGATTGATATCTATAATGATAACTTTGTTCAGTTTGACATATTCCATCTTTCTGAGTTTCAATTCAAGCATTACATCTGTAATATACCTAACACATTTTAGTGAGTTTTTAACCATTTATATCATAGATAATGTATGGAATAAAATGTACAGTTGCGTAGTTCTTAAGGGGAAATATAACCTCAAATGGCTTAGCAAGATCCTCCGTTATGCCGAAAATATTGCAGCATTAATTTTGAAATAAATATATGGTAAAGTTGTGGATTAATGTTAAGGACTATGTTAGACGAAAACACGATTGCGTAAAATTTTCACTATAGAAAAAAATCCAAAGTTACCTCCAAAATAAACAATAAACCGCTGTTATTCATAAAATACTTTAAATAAGATCATGAAACTTTGCATACTAAGTGAACTAACTATAAAGCTGTGCTTATGTTATTTACTTTTTTTTTAAATACCACTATTTTCACTGTAAAAAGTAATCACCTAAACTATCGGCATCTTGAAGCTTGATTCCTGCCGCCCAGTCAGTTTCGCTTCGGCCTTTGAAGGGGGAAGATGTGTCGCTTACGATCAGAATACACATTACGCAACAGGACGACGTAAAGTTAAAACGGGAAATAACCGTAATAAAAATAAGAAGCGACTGGGTTGGCGTTAAGAAACAGGCATAAATATGATAAACCTAATGAAATAAGTATCTATCGACCTATCTACTTACAGTATTATTGATTACAAACATGTCGGTACATAACATACGACGCGCGGGGAAGTGGGGGCGAAATTAGAATTTGAGATGACTTACTATATCCTCTTAACAACAATCTCTCCTAGGTCATCTTTATAAATATATTAATTGTAATTATGTTCTGTTAATAATTAACTTTGGTATTACGTGCAGTCGCTGGCACTGGCATGTGTACACTTTAATTAAGTACAAACTTTAATATTGGGTACTTTAATAAAGTTAAACGTAGGTGCTTACATCTTATTGTTGGTGACTGTACCGAACTACTTACTCAATATCAGCTGTTGTTGCTTAACATCTGATCGCATCTGTGGATAGTGTATTTGACTACATATTTATTCTTATTTTTACATTAGCTAACATTATTTTGTGTAAGATTATACTATGTAGTTGTTTGCTATTCCTAATAAAGAGAAAAAAAAAAGAAAAAATTCGAAGTTGAAGTAAGAAAAACGGAGTATTCCAAATGATTTACAGGTTCTATGAAGATCATAGTAACAGTCGCATTGCAGCAGGAAAAAAAAGGAATATATTACTCTAAATGGAGTCAAAAAACAAAAACGGTATTTGTTGGACTTTTGTAAAACTTGCACAAGAAGTTTCTTCAAACAAATACTCTCACAATAATTATGTATTCATTATTATGTAAATTACCTCCATTCTGGGTTGTACTCCCTAAACTTACGGATCATGATGATTGTGCCTGTGTTGCAAATGAATGAAAATATAAATAAATATGTCTCAAAATGTATACACATTTTATTTTATTATAGTATCATTATTGTTCATTAGTCCTTAAGCATATTTTTTGTCAATCTCTTATGCTTAAATATCAGTCCCTAACCATAACAGTCAGTCCCTAGATGCCTAAATTCTTAAAACTAAATTTCTCATAAAATACTACATAAAGTGACTGGACCTTTTAGGTATGACAATAAATTAATCACCCATAACATACATTATTAGGAAATGCAATAGCATCTTAAGTACTGTACAGAAGCACATATTTTATTTTATTAAGCAGTATAGAAGTGCACATTACAATGGCCTTTTTTACATAGTATCTTTTGAAAGAATATCAATAAACCTACGCCCTTTTAGCCCAACCGAATTTCATACTTTTCAATAATATGGCTTTAAAATCTCATTTATTAAAAAAACGTACTTTGGCCCTTTTAGCACCAGGTCTTAGATATACATACACATATTGTTATATATATGTTAAATTTAGTGACCATATGTATATTTGTATATCTTTATTACATAGCTTATGTACATCTGATATTATAATATGTACATAATATGTATTGTAAATTTTATTATCTTAGTATTTTATATTTCATTTTATTATTTTTATTATAGTTTATTTTATATATTTTTTGATGTACCATATATATATCTTATATATATTTTGGAATACATGGAAATAAAAAAGTCCATATATTCCAAAATTTTTAGTAATTTTAGGTATTCTCATGTTAACTTTTTACTACACCTACTTCATTCTATCTCTGCACACCCCAAGTTAAACTGGTAGAGAATGCCTTAGGCATTAAGTCAGTCTCTATACCTGTGTGTATAAACATTAGTGAATATTGTAATATCTTGAAGATGTGTCAAGTATGCCAACACAAACTGAAGCAGTTTGGCTGACTAATTGTTCCAAAACCCCTTCAGAAATGAGGTCCTGCAGTATAATTATATTAAGGCCTTAACTCTATTTCTTATCAAAATCTGAACCTAAAAAATTATTTATTTTTTATTTTGTTGAAAACATCTTCAACTAGAGCTTACAAAGGTTTACTACTAATTGTTATAAAATAAAATGTATTTTAAATGCTGTTAAAAAAATTGTAAAAGTTAGTTCAGTTAAAAATGCGAATATCATCAATGTAGTCTAAATCAATTAAATACGATTTATTAAGGATAACTCAAACACTATTGGTTAAATTTTGACCAAACTTATAAGAGACCACATGAGAAGCATCAGCTTTGCCAATAAAATGAATTATCAAAATCAGTACAGCTAGAAGAAAAAATTGAGGTAACCCACATGAAAAAAACAGTCAAATTGAGAACATCCTCCTTTGTTTGAAGTCGGTTGAAAATAAAACTATCAAAACCAGAGCTGTAATTCATCATTCCAAAGATTTTTTTTTTATTAATTCTAATACTTGCATGATCAATTGTAATGAAGAATGTAATAATTAAAGTGGAGGGCTGATGGCGTGGAACAGTTATTTTGCAACTATATTTTGGGTTGGACCGATTTTTATTAATCATTAATAATTTTATTGTTTCAGGTCACGTGATCGAGATCGACGTGACAAAGATCGTAAGAGGGATCGCTCTAGGAGTAGAGAGCGTGACCGTAGGCGAGAAAGGGAGAGAGAAAGGGAAAAAGAACGTGACAGAGAAAGAGAGAAGGAAAGAGAGAGGGAGAAGGAAAGAGAACGTGAAAAAGAGAGGGAAAGAGAAAAGGAACGGGAAAGGGAGAAAGAAAGAGAAAGAGATCGTGCAAGGGAGCGCGATAGGGAACGAGAAAAGGATAGAAGGGATAGAGATAGACATGAAAGCGACAGACGACGAGATAGAAGTGGTAGATATTAGAAGTAATATATAAGAGAAAATAAATATTGCAAAACCATTTAAGTATTTCATTTGCAAAGAATTGATCATCATCATCATTGTCAATAGCACGTAATAGTCCACAGCTAGATGATATCTCTCGTTTTAGGGAAGATTTCGACAAGTTTGCAAGTCGGATTGACGATTGTAGTACCAAGTACTTTTTACGCTGCTCCCTGGTCTAAGTATTTTTTGTAAACGGGATAGCTGTACTGCCATCTATTGAAATCCATAAGATCTTTAAGGCGTATGTGCCTCTTAGGGTACTTACGGGAAGTACCTAGGTACTTTTATGACGCCAACATAGCATAGCTAACAATTGTCATAGGTGTCAACTCTGATGATTTCCGAAAATATTACACTTGCAAGAGATATAAACTTTGTATTTTTGTATCTGTAAGTTGGTTCTGGTTTGAATTCTAACTTGGTATGCGTTGCAACACAGCCAAGTATGTAATCTGACTAATGTCTATTATTTATTGAACTCTAAATGCGGCAGTTAACTGCGACTAGAACCAGAGAAAACGTCTACGATTAAAATATAGTTTCATGACAGCGAATACTAAGTTTTCGACTACCTAGAAGAACAGAAATAACGGAACAGGATTTTCACTAGTTTTATAGAAAAAATCTCATAATTTTCATTTCTTTTGACTAACTAATTGGAAATGTGCCATTTTCAGACAGCGTGAAACCGAGTTTTTTTGTGTTACCAATTGCTTGGACAATTGCATTTGAAAAACTTACAGGTATCAGCAGGGCTCAAACCTGGGTTTCTTGCCCCCTGTGAAATTTAACGACAAGCGGTATTTTCTTTGCCATAAATAAGAGAATAAGCAAATAATTTTTTTCACAACATTTAATATAAAAAATATTTACATACAATAATATTATCATTTGAAATCTCAAATTTCATACATAACACAAAATTCACTTCTACTGAAATTTCTCAAGAAAATTAATCTGGATTAGTCTTAAAACTACGTATGTACTTAGAGTTGGTGTATTAAAGCGGAGAGGAGAAGTTTTTCATTTTCATACAAATTATAGTCCTCGCTTTAGTTGAAACCATAGCACTTATACTGTTTGAAATCGGTATAGGGGTAAGACATAATCGAAAAACGTAAGTCATTCACAAGCTATTTCATTTTCTAGTTTTCATTAATTTATGAACATTAGCAATGTATGTTAACTTACAACTTTAAATATTTTACATACATACATACTGATTAGTTACATTTAAAATGAGTACACATATTTTTCATTCCGTACTGCCATTATAAAAATAGTAACATTATTTCTGGAATATCGCAAGGCAAGTATGTGTTTATAGTTACAAGATTAATCTTCCCTTTATTTTCATCATCCTACATAATATCACACCTGGACATAACACATAACATTCTGTTGTAATTAAGAAATCTATTCGCCTATAACAACACGATAGTTGCTTCTTCTCTAACATAAATAAGCGATCTTGATTATTCGCCTCAAGGACAGTCAATTCCATTTCTTATGTTTTGATCTGCGCTTATACAATATTTCCTTGGCTTTTTCTTTATTTCCTACGCTGATTTTCTATTTCATTATGATGGCCGTCTGGTGTCGGCGTAAAAACCGTTACCCTGTTCCCCACAGTGGGTGTCGTTAGCGACGACTGGGAGATGCTAGAAAGGTGTCATAGTCTTCATTGAATGGCGGTTTTATCATCTTGTTTACACAATTAATATGACCCTGACAGCGAACACCATCAAAGGTGCGAGAACTCTTAACAAAGTTTTCCCGGAGACATTTTTATCACACCCTCCTCAACACATTTTATTTTGGAATACAAGCAAACCCCCGCTTTATTTTGTATAGAGCCTTTCTATTCACAAGGAAAGTTGATTTTACTCATGCGGTATTATCCTAATCTATTATACGCATCCTGTCAGATATCGAGGAAGCCATGTTTGTTGTAATTAGTGTTTGTACAACACAGAGTAATGACTGGAAATAACTTTTTTGTTCTATATAATTTATTCCGTTTTATAATAACTCAAAATTCATCTTAAGAATTTCAAATAAGTAAGGACTTTTACATAATCTTTAATCTTATGAAATATTTTTTTCTATGTAAAACATAATACATAATACAACAATATAACTGTAACAGTGCAAAACACACTTCTCAGTCTGAGTTTTTTTTATAGAATAAGGGTGACAAACAATCACACAGTCCACCTGATGGTAAGTGGATGCTGTGGCACATAGACATCTACATTTATCCCCGATTAATAATCAAAACGCAGATGCGTTGTCACCCTTGAGGACTAAGATGGAATGAATCGTTTCCAGTAAAAAAGGTCTCCGGATCTCTACACTCGCCATACGAAACACAGCAGCATTAAGCTGCCATTTTATGCTGGTATTCTGTGAGAGCGTGATCCTTACCCGGGCGAGCCGACCCATTCGTGCTACAACTATACTACTAATATAGCTGCAGCATGGCTCCACCACGTAATTATTATTCGTAATAATTGTATGTTTGTCTTACATGTTAAGAAAACTATGTGAACAAACCTAGCATAAAAAGGATATATTTAAATAAAAATGACACCGTCGCCAAATTACAAGACTTCGATGGACCAACATAATTATTTTTACGTAAACTATTTAATTTACTTGCACATATTCTGTCTGAAAAATATTATAACTGGTTACATGAGAACATACAACAAAATTCATACACAATCATAACTAAACTCACTCATTATAAAATCAAATATAACCTCTAAATTGTCTTTTTATGCAAAACTATGTTTTCTAATGTGATGTACTGACTGTATGATCTCTAATCAAAAATGGGGCAATTTCATAAAAAAAACTATTCACTAAGTTGCAATTTACAAACAAAAAAAGAAAAAAACTATAAGAAACAAAATACGATCGAAAGGAACTGTAACTATTATAATGTTAGTCGGTAAGCATATCACACCTCACCGATGATATAATTGTGGCATTTGGGATATGCGGAGTCCTACAACCATACTAATTATAGAAATTATGAGATGATACTTTAGACAATGACTATTACTTCACGATTAACATAAAGAAGTACTAATAACCGCTAATAAAGCTACAGCGAGAGCTCGTTATAGAAATTTTAGCTTTACAATATTCAACTTAAGGTTCAAAATGCATTGTTAATTTTTAATAAAGACAAATTATTTATAATGAAAAGTTTCTTATTTCTTAAGGTTGAAAATAAATGAAATTAAATAATTTTTAAGTCTGTGCGAATAAAAATAACAAATTATATAATGGTATCGCGCTTATATAATTTTGTTAATGTGCAACATATGAAATTTTACAGAAACATAAATAAGTAAATAAGAACATTCAAATTACTTTTTGTTATTTTATAACTACTATTTCTATTACTGTTCTTCAAAATTTGAAGCTATGGAGTGTAGAAGTAAGGAGTATCAACTCCCATAGGAGAATAGTTGAAAAAATGTCCATCTGTAAGCAGTAAATAACAGTTCAAAAACTCTCCACTACAGCGCTCGAGTAGCTGCGGGGTATGTTAAATCGCCGTAAAATACGTTGAGAGTGTTTTGAAATTAAACTTTTTGAAAGCAATAATATAATTTTTGTAAAAATAATTACGGCGAAAGTCTGTGCAATAAAAAAATTATAAAGTTCTTTAAAATTTAGACTGTAGTTATAGTGGCGCCACCCTTATTCAATGCTTTCCTAGGAACACGTTTTTATACAGAGTCTGTACTCCTTACCTCTACACTCCATATCTGAAGCGTTATAAACCGCATCTAATAATGTAACGCGAATTACTAGGTCGATGTGCTTGAAAATACTACGTAGTATGGTCGAAGTGGACACAGATGTTTAGGTAGGAGCATGTATATTTAAATATGTATTTAAGTTTTACTGACCACCGCATTAGTCTAAGCAAGGATAGACATTTTTTCTATTATATTTAATTTCATATTTATAAAGGATTTCAAATAGATTATATAATCAGAAACCTCTCTCATTTCATACTTAAATAATGCAAGTAAAATAGTAAGTATAATACAATAAAATTAATTTGCTCTCTCATCTATATATTAATATTATTCATTTCATGATTTTAATAAATATTTTGAGTTGACATACACAAATTATTTGATCTACAAAAGCAACGTAATATACACTGTATGGTGTATTTCCAAATCATATTCCAAAAATGTGAGCAATTGTAAAGAATTTTATAAAATAACAGATTAAAAAGGTAACAATTTCTGTTTGTTTAAACCCTTCTAGAAATGAGGGGGAGACCTGTGACCTGTAGTTGGATACATGTAGATTGTTATAGACAATTTACTACATATGGACCAACTATGTACCTACTAATAATAGCTCGGGAAAATGGTTTCTTCGTATTTTGTTTGTATAAAATCTAAGAAAAAATCTCGTTGGTTGTACTGTTTATATCTGACTGGTTTTAATATCAATACATATAGGACATTAAGAAAATGTAAAAAAAAACTTTCCGCCATTTTCAATTGTTTTTCTGTCCGCCAAAATGAGTAAATCTAACGAAGAAGTTCGATAAATTCTGAAGTTTTATTACAAAAAAGGGCAAAATGCAACTCAAGCCGCGAAAAAAATTTGTGATGTTTATGGACCTAAAGCAGTGTCAGTAAGAGTAGCACAAAGTTGGTTCAAGCGTCTTCAGTCCGCAAAGTATCATGTCCAGTCTTGACCTGAAAATTTTCTATCGCGTCTAGAGATGTAAAATATATTATAAAATTGCATATGTTTTTCTTATTTCGTATCGCTTATAATAAAGCCAGGATAAAAAGTAATTTTACTAAAGCGGTGGAAGGGAAAAGGGGAGATCTCCCGCCGGGCAAGGTGTTCTGCCCGGGGAGCGGCCAACGCTCCGAGTGATAGTTCGGAGAAGTTCTATATATACTGTCTATGATTCGGAATGTTGA